CATATTCAGACTCTCCCAAGTCATCACAACCTCTGCAGGTTTCAGAAATGTGCAAGGCCCAGGAATCATTAGCAGTTCTGAATATGGAGGAAGTTTCCTGGTTTTGGAGGATGAGAGAGCTCATTTCTTGTGTTTTGGCCTGTTGGCCTCAGGAAAAGTGATCAGATTGTTACAGCCTGAGATTGCTGCCCTTGGTCAGCTCGTGGCTGTGTGGGACAGGCCACCAGGACTCTTCTGCCCCCAAAGCACAGCCCAGGGCCTGTCCTGATGCGCTTTTCTGGGCTCCCAAAAGGGCTCTGACCCTTTTACACATCCACATCCTTGGAGCCACCTCAGCAAATCCAACCATGCCAAGGCCCAGGCACAACCCTGCAATAGTTCACCCGGTAAAATTATCAACACAGCTCCTGGAAGTTTTGGCCAGGGCCAAATAGATGGATGTAGCCACGCAGAGTTGAGCCTTGCCAGCTGGCCAGGGCCTGCTTCATTTCACGATACAACACCAGAGCTTCAGCCTCCACCAGAATCCATCCCCTGTCATCCCCATGGAGCAGCTTTTTCCACAGAGCTCAGGGTGGGTTGTGTTTTTACAGCAGGAGCATCTCCTCTTTTCCCTCCTGGTGGGCTCCTGAAGCTCTTTCCAAAGGTTATTTGACCACATTTGGTGGATTTGGCTCCTTAAAAAGGCACTTTGGAGCAGGGACAGCAGTGACTTTGACCCGAGCAGTTCGTGTGCTGCTGTGACATACGTAGTAAATAAGCGTGAGGGTAATTATACCAACAGGAATTCTGGGAGCCCTGCCAGGAGGGAGGGGACAGCCAATCCTTTGTGCACTAAAAAAAAAAAAAGAAATAAAAAACATCACCCCAATCCCCCTCCCAACCCCAAATTAGTTCTATCTCTTGAAGCTGTGATGAGACTTAGAACTAAAAATACACACAAATACACATACTCTTATATAAAAATAGCCAGCATTCAAAAAGAAAAAAATAAAAAGTCCAAAGTTAGGCTCCTGTGTCCAAAATTAAGCTCTTAAATAAATAAATTAGTCTGATTTTCAAAAGCATGGAGCAGTGAATGGTTTTCACTGACATAAGAGGAAGCATCGTGTTGCTAAAGATTGAAGATCAGGCCTGAATATGGATTTTAAAGTCTAATTATAGAAGCCTGTTTGCCACCAGCTTGACCGGGAACAATGAATTTCAGGTGAAATCACATGGATTTTTTTTTTTCTTAATTCTTCTTAAGTTGTCTACACTTAACCAATGCTAGGAAAGCTTTGAAAGACTCTCAAATAAGTAAATAAAATAACACAAGGAAAGAGATGACCTGGAATAAAACTGTTTAGACCAGTTCTCTACATAAGTGTTTGGAAATAGGGTTAAGAATTATCAGTGTTGGAGCTGGGTGAAATTTTAAGTTAATGAATTAAGTAGGAATTAAGTAGGTATTTATTGCTTGCTGAAAGCCCACAAGGTGGAAATATTACTTTATTACTTTTATCACAATCTACTGGCATCAAGAAGGAATGGGATCTTAGTCATTCCTTTCCTCTCTTTGCCAGATTTGGGTCCGAAGGATGCTGAAGACAGAGCACCATATTTTTTCATGGACTGAAGAGAAAGAAAAATGAAGTGAATTTACTTTCAGCTGCAAATGGTTCTCGGAGCTGCTTTGCTCACACTGCTCAACATTTGCCAAGGGGTTCCTGAGGTCACAGTCCCATGGGATAGGGACAGATTTTTCCTTTGGGGTCAGATTGGGCAGGGCTGGGATTTATTCTGTGAAGGAACTATGTCCACCCTGGATGGAGGAGCATCAGCTCATAGGGCTGTGCTGCACTCATCTGGTGTTTAGAGGCAGGGGACAGCACTAAAATATCTGGGGTTTGATGACAAAAAACCTTTGAGAGCACTTTTTTGGTACTCTCTAGCTCAGTTTCCCCATCTGTGGAAGAGGCACAATGCAGGTGACCTTTGTCAAAGGCTGTGGGCTCAGCAGTCAGGGAGAACTTGGTGTTTGTGCCACTGCCACTGATGGAGACAGGATCAGGACACTGTGTCAATCCCATGAATTTGAATATTTTTCCATGCATTCTGCCTCCATGGGTTGGTGCCATGTCCTCTTTCCATGGCCAGTAAGAAAAATCTGTGCTTAAACTGTGGATGGTGGTGAATCCCTAGAGATTCACACTAACCCCAGAGATTCAGGAGAAATCATTGCAGGACATCAGGACAGGACATCAGGACAGGACATCAGGATAGGTCATCAGGATAGGACATCAGGATAATTTCATCCTAATTTTTTTGAGTGGCCCACTGTCATTGTTACAGTTTGGTTCAGCCAACCTGGAGGGCTGGGGAAAATAAAGATGGTCTTAAAAATAACCCAGAAGTGGAGACAGCTGTTGGGAACAGCAGTATGGAAGGAGTAGACATGTAGGAAATGTGAACTGTGGGAAGGCACTGAAAAATTTTTTTTTTCTGGAGAAAAGGAGGTTCAGGGGGGACCTTCTTTTCTTCTTGACAGGAGGAGGTAGCTGGGGGGGTTGGGCTCTGCTGCCAGGGAACAAGAGACAGGATGAGAGAAAACAGCCTCAAGTTGCAGCAGGGAAGGTTCAGGTTGGACACCAGGAAGAATTCCTTCAGGCAAAGGGTTATCAGGCATTGGAAGTGGCTAGTCAGGGAGGTGGTGGAATCATCATCTCTGGAGGGACTTAAAAGCCATGTGGATGTGGCACCTGGGGACATGGGTTAATGGTGGCCTTGGCAGTGCTGGGAGAATGATTGAACTTGATGATCTTAGAGGTATTTTCAAACCTTAATAATTCTATGATTCTGTGGAACTGTGGTGTTTTTTTCGGGTTTTTTTTGTTTTTTTTTTTTTTTTTTTTTTTTTTTTTTTTTAATCTGGAGAAATGAAAGGTTTACATGGCAACTATGTGCAAACAAGTAAAAGACTGCTGCAGGATGAAAACTAATAAATTCTTCTTGTCTGTGGCTGGGGTGATGAGAAATGAGTGGTTTAACCTTCCGAAGAGGAGTTTAGGTTTTGTGTACCAGCAGGAATGGGAGCTTCTGGGGAGGGGGAGGTCATCCAGGACTACAGGACAGATTTGGTGGAATTTGGCAGAGGTGATGGTGCCTTTGCCCGTGGTCAGCACCTTAAGAGCACCACCGCTTGGCTTTTGCTGGCCCTGTGTCACTGACGTTATAAAAACCATTGCATTCTCCTTTTCCTGCTTTCTCCTTGAGCCACGACGCTCTCCCTGACTTTGCCTTCCCAGCTAAACTGCATTTATTTAATTCCTGGGTGAAGGGAAGGCAGGATGCCTGCGTCGTTCTGCAGCTCCTGGGGTTGGGGTCTTCCATGGAAATGCCAGGTGCAGGTGGTGGATTTGGGAGAGCAGGTGCTCCACGGCCATTTCCGTCCCACTCGGGGTCTGCTGTGGATGTCACACCAGTGTCACCAGTGTCGTATGACTGCCGTAGCATTTTCTCGAGTGTCGAGCCCCATCTGGTGGCTTTCCTGCGTCATTTTTTGGTGTCCTTGCAGTCCCTCTTTCGGGATTTTTCGCCTCCTGTGCCAGTCAGCTGCGAGCGGGCAGGAAGGACAAGATGCTGGATAAAGGACAGGGTTCGCAGAGCTGCCTCTGCTTCTCTCCCAGCTCCCCGTCCCTGGGTGTAATTCGGGGATCCGGAGGCTCTCCAGGCTCACGTCCTTCCCTCCTGCTCTCGCCGGCTGTGCAGTCTCGCCCGAGTAGCAGGGGATGATCTAATCGTTTTGGCCAAACCCCAGCTTGTGCCGTGAGCCCCTCCCAGAGCCTCCAGAAGGCGTTTCATCCCGCTGCCGTGCTGGCAGCGGAGCTGGGACAGATGAACAGTCCCGGGAGGGGACATTTCCGACGACTCAGATGACCAGCTTTAGGGTCGGCATTAGGTGAAATGGTTCCCATCCCAAATGAGGTTACAGCCACCGCTCAGGATGAGAAGGAAGAATACACAATGTTGGACTGTCGATCCCTGGAAGTGTCCAAGGCTGGGCTGGACAGGGCTTGGAGCAGCCTAGAATAGTGGAAGGTGTCCCTGTCCATGGCAGGGGGTTGGAACAAGATGATTTTTAAGGTCCCTTCCAACCCAAACCATTCTGGGATTCTGTGACATCAACATTCTGTGGCATTAGAAAGGACTCTGTTGAGGTCTTTTCTTAAATGCCACAAGTCTTGAGACAGAGGCAATGGTTAGAGCTGTGCCTATCCATGCACAAAGCACGTCCTTGTACTCCAACATTGCCCAAAGTCTCAAAGCTGACCAGTGACAAACTGTGGCCTTTCACATCTGTGGGTCACATACGTGCTGCGCGTGAAGGTGGTGTCTCTTTGCTCCACCTATGATGGAATAGGGTCAAATCATAAAATCAGAGAATATTCTGAGCTGGAAGAGACCTACAAGGATTGTCAGCTTCCAATTCCTGGACAACTTCAAGAATCCCACAATGAGCCTGAAAGTGTGGTCCAAACACTTCTTGAGCTCTGGATTCTGTGAGAGAAGCTCCTTACCAGAGTGCTGAGGGGGTTTAGATGGTCTGTCAAGCCACTTCCAAGCGTTAGGAGCAGTATTTTTCATATGGGCTCTCTTCTTGTGATGAAAATTAGGTGAGGGGGTTGTTTTCTTGTGCTTCAAAAGCATTTCCTACTCCCAGGCTTCACATTTGGGTGGTACCAGTTAAAGTTTTCCCACCCCTGCAACACCAAATGCACTTCGTTATACGCTCTTGTTCTCAGGGTGGCATCTAGTTTAAGGCTGAGCTTGATGATCTTGGAGGTCTTTTCCAACATTAATGATTAGTCAGATTCTAAAAGTCCTCCTCAAATCTGACAGGAGGGAGCGGAAGAACCATGCAAACCCCAATGTCTCCCCAGAACCCCATTCCCCCACAAACAGATTTTGCTGCCGCTCCAACGTTCTCATGCCCAGCTTTTCCCTTCTGTTCCCTGCAGGTATATCCGAACAATGTACCTGGGGATCCAGAGCCAGAGGCGGAAGGAACACCAGCGGCGTTTCTACTGGGCTATGATGTACGAATATGCAGATGTAAACATGCTGCGCCTCCTGGAAACGTTCCTCGAGAGCGCCCCTCAACTGGTGCTACAGCTCTGCATAATGATCCAAAAGAACCGTGCAGAAACATTACCATGTAAGTGGCCCCCTCTTCCCCACCTTACCAGCCTCTCCCAATCTCTGCTCCCAGTGCCCAGCAGCTGATGGATGTGCTGCTCACTTCCCACCCTGGCTGGGGGCTGCGACTTTGGGACAAATCTCTGCTGCGTTCGCTGGGTAAAATTTCTGCTCGTTCCTCTGAGGGGGAAAAAAAAAGTCAGTATCAAGGAAAAGATGGGATTCAGCTCTTCCACGCCCAGTCCAGGCTAAAGGAATGATGGTAGTGTCAGGAGGAGGCAAGCAGGCTCTGCTGCTGTGGCACCACTCGTTTGTTGCTTGGCACTGGGCAAACACGACCATTCCCTGCCTCAGTTTCCCTCCTTACATAAGTAGGGCGATAAAACTGGCCAGATTTGAGTTTGTGTTGTGAGGACAAATGATTCAATGCCTATGCAATGCTCTGATGGTGTTAAGTGTAAAAAAGGGGGTTTTTAACAGCTAAATGCTGTAGGGCCTTTTCTGATGAGTGCCCAGGAGTTAAGGTCTTGTCATTGGTACCATGGTTCTCACCAAGCCCAGGAAAAGAGAAGGGGAAGGCAGTGGAGGGGATTGTGTAGGAACAGGGATGTAGTGGAGGTTCAATTGGAAAGGCAATTAAATGATGAGAAGAGGCTTGGAAGCCACCACAGGGAATATTTTGCCAGTTCTGGTGTCCACCACTGCTGTGATGTGCTGAGCATGGGGCATCTGTCCCAGCTGAGAGGGACATGGTCCTGCCCCAGCCCTGGCATGAGCAGCTCTCCCAGCCCATGGCCATGCTGTCAGCCTGGGTGTGACCAGCCTGAGGGACAACCATCCTTTCCAAGGACCAGCAGTGGAGCTGCTTGGTTATTCAGCCCCTGTTCAGTTTGTGCACCACGGGTGACACTCAGCTTCCCAAAGACAGCCTGGATGGGGCCTGTCATTTCTGAGGAGTTTTTGGACCTGAGGTGGGAACTGAAATTGGAATTTGCTTTGGGGTTAAATTTTGCTGGTTTTGCCAAGGTCACCACTACCTACAGCATCAAGAAAGGCCAGCCACTCTCCCTTTCCTCTGTATTTCCAGCATGTCCATCACAGTTGTTTATAGAAGCTTCCCTCCTCCTATTTATGCAGTCTTTTCTTGAAACCTCTCATCACGAGCTCTCCAGGCCTCCAAAGTGCTGACATGATGAATATGCCTTTCTACAACTCCTGCTAGAATGGCTCACATTTGCCAGCCCCCTTTTCCTGCTGCTTCCAATGTTATTAGCCCGACTGAAAATGCAGAAATCACAGCCCAGGAGGTCTGCCAGGGTGTTCTGCAGATTGCTGGACTCGCCGCAGAAAGCGCCGAGTGAAGTTTGTTGGCCTCTGTTGCACTGCGAGTCAGACAACACAGGAGAATAATCCCTCCAGGCTTTCAAATCCGTGGCTCTTCCACTTTGCCACTTCCAGGCACGGCTGCCTAATCCACTGAATGAGCTGCATCATTTTTCCAGCATCCCCCCTCCCCTCCCTTCCTCGGCTTTGCAGTTCCTCTGCTCCTCCAGCGCGCCGAGCTGGCTGCGCTCTCTTCCAAGGCAGTGCACGTCCCTGCCTGCCTCCCCGAGCCCTGGAGGGCTCTTTGCTCGCCACGCTCCAGCAGCCGAGCCCGCCGGGTCCCCTGAGCATCCTCTCCCTGCCTCCCTCCCCGCTTGTGCCAGGGATGCGGGCGCTGATGGATGTGAGCAGCGGAGCTTGCTCAGCGCTCCTTGACTCCTCCGGTGCAAGGTTTCCTAGAGCTCCTTCATGCCCATTCAGTTCTTTTCTCTTTCACCTCTTTCTCCTTCTCCTTCTCCTTCTCCTCCTTCTCCTTCTCCTCCTCGCGGCTGGTCCATAATTATATAAAAGCAAATTAAATGCTAAAAGGAGCCATTGCGAAAGGGAGCATCAAAGATTTTCACTTGAAGCAAAGGGAGATGGATACTGTTAGGAAGGCAGTGTGTTTAAAAACCAAATCAAGTCTCTCCTGGCTCATCAAGTCTGTGGGAGCGTGGCTCGTCACAGGAAGGGGCCAGTTCTGCCCTTAAACAGGGACAGCATCAGCTGCATCTGTGAGGAATGCACGCTGAAAAAACAGCCCAGGGAAGGGCTTAAAAACCCAGGTACAGCCCCTGCTGATGTGTCCAGACTCCAGCTGCTTCTATACATTCCCCACAGACTCCTATGGATTCATTTAGTGCCAGACAAGGTCAGTTCACCATTTCCTGTGCCATACATCCCTCCTCCAAGCCTCAGTCCTCCCCGCTCTTTAGATTGTAATGTCAAGCCCAGGATCCACTTCTCCCCAAACAGGTCAACTTCTATTTAAGGAGCTTTAGAAAGGGAATTATTGGAATGGATAGCAGGAGGTTTTGCTTTTGTCTCCTAATTCCTGTTTTAAGAGAGCTGTTGAGGAAAGAAGAGTGAACACATTGGGTCTTTACTCAGATCCAGATCATCTCCTCCAAAGCATTTCTGCCACACAGCATAGTAATAGAAAGGGCTGATCTTGAAAGGATGATAGAAATGGATACAACCAGGATAATGCTTAATTTCTTGGCTTTCAATCTGTTGGGTGGGTGAAAGAAAGAAAAACCTGATCATGCCTTGCAAGAGCTATTTGACCATGAGAGGTACCTGTGTAAGATGGTTGGGTGGGACCTGTGTCTGTTGTTCCTTCAGCACTCAAAGAACAGAGGAGTTTCACCCAAAAATGAGAATGTCCAGCAGCAGAAATGCTGGAGCTGGAATTTGAGGTCAAGACCCAGCCTCAGTAAAGCTTGGAACAAGACTCAAGCTGGGATTTCATGAGTCAGGATTCATTCCTTCATCATATCCCCAGCACAAGGCAGAGCAGATCCCAGCTTAGCTCCTCTTGTCTGAGGAGCAACAGAAAAGAGCACAGAAAGAAAAGAGGTGATAACTCTGTGAACTCCATCAGTTGGGCTGTGGAAGGTGAATGCTGAGAGCCTGAGCTGGAATTCTTTGTTTGGTGGAGCAAATGGAGCAACATCAGCTCCTGAATATCCATGTGGAAGGAGCTGGTGTTGGTAGGCAGGACCTCTGTGCAGGATTTATCTGCTACAACCACAGCTGGGTGGGCCCAAAACAGAGTCAAGAGAAGGTGAGGGAATAAGGATGGATCCAACACGTGGAACAGCTCATGTCCAAAGCAGCTGAAGGAGGTGGGAGGAGATGCTCAAGCAGCAGCAGCAGCACCTTTCCCCAGGGAATCTGATGCATTTATGCCTACCACTGGGGTTAGGCTGAAGGTGGGGAAGGGATGCTGGAGAGGATGCAGCATTGTCCTTCAGCCAGCCTAACTGTGTCTGAGGTTTAGGAGAGGATAAAAAGGGTGTCCATCTCTCAGACTCCAGGGCAGCAATGGCCAGAGGACTTCCCATGATTTAAATCATGTATTTGCAGGGGGAAACATAGCACTAACAACAGAAAAAGCTCAGCAACCCAGATCCTCATTCCATAATCACCCCCAGCAGATAATCCACCTCACTCCTTGCAGAACAAACCATCCTTAACCCCTTTCACCCCTCAGAGGTGCCACTTCCTCCGCTCTAAGTTGGAAGGAACTGATCAAACCAGCTTGAAGGAGACACCCAACCTCTAGGCAGACAGGGAGGTGAGAGGGATTCCAGTTTTTCTGGCATAAATCTCCTCTTAAAGAGGTTTGCTTCCACTTTTTTTTTAATTTTTTTTTTTAACCTGGCTTCTTTAAAGCTTAATGAGATTTACCAGAAGTCCCAACACCCTTCCACTCATGTCACAAGTTCTTTAGACAAAGATTTCTGCCTATATGAGGCTGCAGTTTTCAGCACAGGGTCTCTCTTCCAAAAAAAGCCCCATCTCTCCACAGATGCTGTGTCCATGTCCTTGATAACCCTACAGTTGATCTGAGAGAGATTAGCAGCATAAGTCCTGCTGGAGTCTCGGGGATTTTGGGAGGTGTTTGCACTCCCCACAGCCCTCAAAAGTAGGCTGAAGCTGCTCATGTATTTAAAGAAAAGCAGCATTAACTTAGGGGTTTGGGAGGTCATTTTATTTAAGCAGAGTAATACAAATTGGGGATTAAAATGGATTTCAGACATCTCAGCTACAGATGTGTGCTGGCTGCAGAGGTATCCTGGTGGAGTTTGCAAATCATCTTGTCCCTCCCAAAGTGAAGTCCTATTTTTTTTTTTAGTCATGTTCTCCCTCATCTGTGCCATGTCTGGGGACCATTTTTAATCATTTATGATTCCTTTTTGCAGGGGCAAACTAAAGATCATTTTTTGCGTCACTTAGTTTAGAAAACTCATCTGGTCAACTGAGTTAGAAAGGGACCCTCAGCCTGTAGGTGCTCAAAAATGCGAGTTTCAAGTGACATCAACACTGGCCTGAACTTAAATGAGGAGGCTAAAATCCCCAGGTCTCCAGTGAAAGTGAAAAAAGACTCATGAGATTTGAAATTTCATCCTTTTCATCACTTGAAGGAGCACTTAAAGTTAGTGCAAGACCCTTCATGCTGGCCTGGGACAAACAAGTGTGCCGAAAAATGCTGAAACAGGAATCCAAACCCCCAAACCCAATCTCTGTGACCTCACAACACAAAATTGTCCCCATTTATGCAGAGCCGCATAACCTCACAAATAAACCAGAGTTCATTCTACACAGGCACCAGATGCCATGGGGATCAGTGCAGAATTCAATATGGCATCTGCAAATTTGGTGTGGGAAAGTCCTATTTCTGCACAGCAGAAATCCTCTTCCTGACTGGTACATTTTTCCTAAGATTCACCAAGGGAACTTCACTGTATGACTAAAGAAGTCTTTGCCTTATAAAATCCTCAGTAACAGGAGATGGGGTGGGGACAAGATCTACCAGAGCCACACTCTGGGCTTTGGCTCAGGTTCTGAGGCAGATCATGAGCAAAAAGAGATTCTACAACTTGTTGCCCAAAGGCAGATATTCTTTTTTTCCTTTTTTCTCATGTCATTCCT